CAGCCCCCATCAGCACCACGTAACCCTAGCGGGAAGGACAGCGCGACAGCCCCTTTGTCGCTGAGGGACCCAGCACCACTGTCCCTTCAGGAAACACCCTCTTTCTCCTCTCAGCCCACCCCTGGCCCTCCCAGGTCCAGCCAGCCTGTCCCGCGACGCTCCCACACGCGGCCCCCACGCACGCACGGCTTCCCGTGCTGTCTGGCTCTGAGGGTCTACGAGGGCTCCCGCCCTGCTCCTCACCAGCGCTCAGCTCGTCCTCCGCCCTCTCCGTGGGGGCCTCCTCTCCAGCCAGCGCCTCCTCTGCCTTCTCCACCTCGGCCCTCTCCTTCTCCGTCCCAGTTCTGGTCGCCTTCTGGATGGCCTCGATCTTTGGTCCCAGGACCCGAGACTTGAGCCGGGTGTAGACCTCTGCGGCCTTCTCCATCACCTCCTTGTTGGCCTTATAACGGCGGATCTGACCCACAAGAGGCCCGCTCAGGAGACGCAGTGGGTCTCGCTCCCCACCCCCCCGCCAGAGCCCCACCTCCAAGGCCGCCACCTCCCAGGCCGTGCCCCTCAGGACCCCTACCCCCGCCGGCCACCAGGCCCTTCCGCTGCTAGGATCCCACCGCACCTTCTTCAGTGTGGCCACGACATCTGTGTTCTTCTGGAGGATCTGTGAGGTCACCTGCAGGGTCCCCAGCTCCTCCAGTGCATTCAGACACCTCTTCACATCCTGCAGGGTGGGGAGAGGAGGGGCGGCACCTAGCTGAGGGGACCCTAGGGAGTGCCCTGAGGGGCAGGCGGAGCGACAGGGACCCCCAGAAGTGGTGGTTGAGACCCAGAACCTGGAGGACCGCTCAGTGCCACCTGTGGGGACACCAAGCAGCACACCCCGGGTGGCGCCCCCTGCTGGAGGACGCCAGGTGAACCAAGACCCAGGGTTTGCCTCAGTTTCCCAGAACTTCTCAGAGGCTCCACACACGAGGGGCTGGGGGACTGCCTGGCCTGGAGGAACCTCCGCACCCCGAGGAGGGTCTCACCGGATTGTCGACTTTCAGGGCGAACTTGATCTCGCTGTGCAGCTTCTGCAACTTTTCCTCCACGGAAGGTTCTGCGGCCAGGAGAGAACGCAGCACCTGCACGTGACTGCAGCCGCAGAAGCCACCCTGGCCCGGTCCCGCCACCCGACCAGCTTCCTCGACCCGTGCACGTGCACAGGAGCAGAGGACCTGCCCTGGTGGCCCGCCCTCCTCACCTTTCTTCTTCTCCACCTTCCGGTCGGGCAGGAACCCTTCTGACCGCTTCCGGGTCCGCTCCACCTTGGGGGGCCTGTGGAGTCACACTCCTTAGCCCTACCCTCGCCTGCCGCGTAGCCCCCCTGCCCTGCCATGGCCCTCCTGCCCCCGGGGGCCTCTGTGTGCGTGGTCGGGGAGGAGGAGGGATCAGGGCCCATTGGGACCTGGTCTAGGCAGCCGCCAAACTCCCATCGGGAAGGTTCATTCGCGGATGCTGGATTCCCGCTTAGCAAGCGGGCAGGGGGATGGGCTGTATCCCCCCAGCTTGGCTTTCCAGTCTGAGGACCACTGGTCTGGGGGACAGGGTCCCCCCCTCAGCACTGCTGACAAGGGGCGGGTCGCTCTCTGAGGAACATCCGGGCCCTGTGGGGGGCTGGGCAACATGCTGGCCCCACCCCCTCAATGCCAGGAACACCCCCAGCGTGACAACCAGATAGGTGGGGTGGTGTCCACTGGGGGCAGAACCTCAGTCTGGAGCAGTGGTTCCTACTGACGGGGCCCCACTTGGCTTGGATCTATCTCCAAGACTGATTTCGGAAGTCGGGTCCCTCCTGTACGGGGTGAGGGGGGACGGATCCCCAGGAGGCCGGGAGCCGCAGGGACCAGAACGGGGCAGGTGGGCCCCCAGGTAGCCGCGGGAGGAGAGGCACAGCGGGTCCGACCTGGCTCGGGGCCTCTCCTCGGGGCGCCCTCTCTTCTCCTTCTGGCTGGGTCTCCTCGAGGGCTCTGTGCTCTGTGACTGTCTGGCCGCCTTCTTTGCCTGCAGCGTCCAGAGAGGGACAGGGCTGTGGCGGGCAGCGGGCGCTCCCTTTAGAGGTTCAGCCTGCCACCGCCTGCCACCACTGCACTGTTGGGAACTGGCGGACGGGGCAGGACGGGAAGAACGACCCCTGGGTCCAGCACGTGCCCCAGGTGACAGCGTCTCAGGCCCTACAAGGACCACTCACTCAACGGGAGGGGCGGCCCCACGATCCGCACTTCCTGGGGCAGGGATCTTGGGCCCTTTTTTGTGACCGAGGGAAAACAGGGAGAGAGTAAGGTCGTCCTCTGTCCCGTGGGCTCGGTCTAGAAGGTGACAGGCCTGGAAGTGAGGCTCAGATCCAGGCAGATTGCGAGTGCCAGGAAAGTGGGGTGTTGACGAGCCTGCAGGACTGCCCTGGGCCTGTGGGTCACCCCTCATGCTCACAGAGGCCTATCTGCTCCCCACTCATCCCAGAGTCCTGCCCCCCGCAGCACCCAGAGGGCACCTGTGAACACAGGAGTCAAGTCTCCCCTCCTCGGCCCACAGCCCTTCAGGGCTCCCACCTCCCTGGAGGAAAAGCCCAAGTCCTCCCTGAGACCCCAAGGCCCGGGAAGACCTGCCCCATCCCCTCTCCTCTTTCTCCCCCCTCCACCTCTCCGTTCTACCCACATGGGCCCCCTGGTTGTTGCTCCAACACACCAGGCCTGGTCCTGCCCCAGGGCCTTTGCACAGACTGTGCTCGCAGCCCAGCGTGCTGTTTCCCCAGATTCCTTCCCAGACCACCTCTCACTCCATTCAGATCCTTACTTCACGGCACACGGCATCTTCTCAGCTAAAGCCTGTAGGGTTTACCCCACCTAAAACTGAAAAGCCCACCCGACAGCTCATGCCCCTCGACCTGCCTTCTTGTCTTTCGCACCCAACGTGCTGGAACGCACCTCACGTTGTCCCCTGTCTGGCCCCCTCGCGCGAACCCCGGCTCCTCCACGGCGCAGGTCTCTGTGTCTCGTTCACCGC